ATATTATAATACTGCAAGCACATATACGCGCGTCCCAGAGCTCTCCCCATCCATACCCACGCCGCTATTGCTTAAACCATTTATATTTTGACGTTTTCCGTGTGGCTGTTTGCCGAACGTGTCTGAAAGGCTTAACTGCAACGGTCTGGGGAGGTAGAAGTAGAGGGTGCGTCGGCGGCAGTAATGAAGCTCGGACTTTGATTATCGCCAGGTAATCCGGTGGCTCGCCGGCACACGTTCCTGCTTCACTCCCCCAATAAATCAACCATATAATTCGTGTTTGCTCACCAGCGTCGGCACTCCCATACTACAACAATCCAACCACCTCTTTGCCACTCAGCTCTCTCTCTCTCTCACACACACACACATTCCTCGTGTCCACCAACTCCACTCATTATGCAAAACCCGTATCAAAAGCACTATAATATTGGTAACCACGGACGCAACTTTGCATCAAAATGTTCTAAATCTGTTTATTACGCCTCGTAGAACAAATTTACTAGACAAATGTATGTTTTGCATATATTATGTCAAGTCGTTATGTATAGAATTACTCTGGTTTTGTCTATATAGCGCCTCGTCGCCAGCACAAACGGGATATAGCCTGAGAGGAGGGAGATCGGACGCAAAAGCTACGTAGTACGTTACGTCGATATACAAAACTTTATTAAATATCAGTTTGATACACCGCAATTTGTAACCATGGTAATTAACGATGAAACAACATAATATACAATATACAATATACAATATACAATATACATATATACTATATATACTATATATAATATTACAGGGGTGATATTTATATTCACGAGATCTATAGAGTATGTCCTCAGGTGTGTCCGTTGTATGCAGTGTCAACACATATAATATTAGTGTTTTATACTTTGAAATTTCGTTTTAAATTAAGATAGTTAGGAATTATGCAAGAATTTTGCAAAAGTAAAAATCGCAAATGTTATACAATATGCAATAATCACACTTAAAGACACCTACGTACGTACCCATAAGTTTCAAAGGAGCGCGTTCTTAATTTTTTTTTCGAATTACGTTTTTCTGAATTACATAAAAAATGCTGATATATTTTCTTAGCTATATACCTACTTTTATTATTTGTTTTCACTCGTCAAAATTTTAGAACATACATTATACAATTATAATGAATATACTTGGCGTTTCACAAAAGAGAATCATTTTCTATATAGTTTTACCATTTCAATAACAAAATTATGCATTATTCATAGCCTTACTCATATACCAAATTGAAATCTAAATGAAAAAGTCGAAAACAGATGTGTAATAATGCTTATAGAAAAGGGCAATAAAATAAGTATGTATAAATAATAACCAAAAGTTTAATAATTTATAAAATACTGCTTTTTCTGCAGATATGAAAAACTTTACTCTTGTTTGTTATAAAGATGAAATAAAATTTGTTGTTACCTGTATAGTAGAAAAAAAATCTTTTTTATTGATGGGCCATGAAACTGTCGACTTGTGAAAATTATAAAATACCTTCATAAATATTAAGCTATCTTTGAAATTGTATCATATTATGAATTACCACGTTTAATTATTATATAGCTGTTAAAATATGTGACTATATATTGTTCATAAAATAATTATTTATAATTTCAGTAACATACTAAACTGAAAATGGAATTTCACTGTATTTTTAGCTACCATACTTGGACATGCATTAAAAGATACATTTAGTTTTAAAAAAATATTGTAAACATTCACATGTTACGTATTTTATACTTGAATAAAACTTTATTCGACAAATAAAGGACAATAAATTTACTTTTGTTCAACGATTAACTCAATAATGATACATGCATGCAATAATGTGTTTCTACATAAGTTTGTTGTTTTTTATTTTTTATTTTTATAAACACGGGTTAGTGCGTTATGGGGCTCTGGGGACAAAACGCGTTTGGAGTTCTAATTTAAACAGCGCAACATCCCTAAGGTTACAAAATAGATGAATAAATGTGGAAACCATATTCAAAAGATATGCCTGAGGTAACACTTTGCATAAAAACACTAGAAAAAACACTGTCACGTCGAAGAAAATCTCTAATAGTTTGCATATTAGAGATATGCACCTGCCATTTTTTTCGGCCCAAACCTGACAGAAACTAAAATTGAAAATTTGTACCCACCCAGGCCTTAATTATTTTTTAAGTCAAACCGGACCATGCCCGTTTTTAATTTAAAAACCTATTAAAAATAATTATAAAACTAAAATAAAATACGTTGTACAAGTCAATAACAGTGTATGTTGTATATACCTATATAATATAACTATATATTAGTACCGTCTCGAATTCTCGATTGTCGGCGACAATTACCGTTTTCTCAGTTTCCTGTGAAAAAACATAGTTTTTATGATATACTTGTAGGTACTCCATATTATTTCTGTTAAAACGTAAAAAGTAAAATGTACAATATACGTTGTACTTTTAACCGATCCGATCTAAAGCCAAGTAGGACGATTCAACCATAACCAACCCGAAATAGCCCGATACGTACCGGGTCGGACTGGGCCGGCCGGTGAAGATCTCTATTGCCTATATTATGTGTATTAACTAAAGTACCAACTAGATTCATCAATGTTGATGAACGGAGCATTTTTCTATAGTAAAAAGTGCCTTCAGACCACAGATATAAAATACTAGATACCTAACTTGTCTAAATTAGGGTAATCGATGTTGAAGTTAGCCACCATATGCGTGTGGGTCAATGTTTACATAACTATCTTATTAATACTGTATGATAACATGATATTATTCGCACAGAATAAAGTTTTTTTATAAAATATTAAAAATATATATTTCTATTGCAATTGTTTTTAATGAAAACACATAATATTATCCTTATTCAATATTCCATCGTCAGATATAAAAGTATTTTGACCATCAGATTGTTATCATGTCGTATTGATAAGACAATTATGTAAACATTGACCTACACGTATATGGCGGATAACTTCAATGTTCGATGCCTTGTTAGCTATCTAGTATTTTATATCTGTGCTTCAGACACACAAAAACAAAACCATCATTATACAATTAATCAATACATTCATCGCTTCGCTCAGAATCTAATAGAGTATCAACAAAAATATATAATTTCAGTAATACAATTCTATAATAAATAATCAGTACGAGAATATGGATTGAGGAAATATGAAAAAAAGATATCACTAAACATTTTAATTTTAAAATATGTTGTGTTTGAAAATTTGACTTGGTACATTAAAAACAAATTATGATAATTTAGTTTAATACGACGAGCGTGGAAATATATGCATAATATAACCTATTAATTATTTATTATAGCTTACCTAAATATTAAAATACATTTTGGCATTAACTTCTATCTATATATATAAAATAACTTGTCCTAAGTGATTCACCATCGCCTAGCCGGAGTAGCTATGAGTATGAAATTTGGACAGTAATTTGTTTTGTGATGTAGACACCCACTACAAGAAAGGATTTTTCGAAATTCAAACCCTACAGGGGTTAAAAGGGTTAAAAGTGGAAAAAATTGAAAGACCGATGCCCTGACTGATTCATTTGCCTTATCACTAACTTCACTGTGTCTGCAATCTAACGTAGGTATATTGCTTATACCTGATAATATACTGTTCGCATAACCTAAGCAAGTCTCACGGGAAACTCCACGCGAGATGGCTTAAAATTAAAATATAATATGATTTTGCTTCGATATGCACAGCGGCTACAGCAAATTACACCTAAAAAGAGTTAATTAATCAAAATTGTTTTAAAGGTTATTCAGCTATTTGTAATATGTACATGTTCCTTTTATATTAAGACTTAATCAAATATTTACTAGAAATCCAGCAAATAGTAATAATAATTGTATTTAAATTGTATATTTTAAACTTATTTGAGAATTCTATTTACAATTTAATATTTTAATATTTTATTAAAAATAATAATTTCCTGCATAATACTTTAATATGATATGCATATATTATTTAACAGGAATAAGACATTTTAAAAATAAGTTAAAACCAAAATTTAAAAGTAAAAAGTAAGATTCAAATTTCAAGCAATTATCTGCACATTTTTATTCATCATTCATAGAATTATAATTGAAATTGTATTTTTTTTTTTTTTATCAAATATTTTAATATTTAAATATAAAATGAATTGTTATGTACAAAGTATTACGAGATATTAATTAAAATTAAAATTAAAATATGAAATTATATAATATCGTATAACTTTTATAATAGTTTCTCTTGCTTATGAATTTGAATGAGTAATGTTTTATTACTGGCAACTTTGTTTCATGAATAAGAAATAACTATATGAATAAATAATAAATTCTTTAAATATAAGTTAGACACCAACCTACCCACCTAGTTAAATTATTAAAAATAATATGATGCAATGAGATAATATTTTATAAGTAGCTTTAACTTTTTATAAAGGTACCTTACTATTATATTATGAGTAACTAAAAAATATTAGATACTTAAAGTTTACTTTTTCTCAAACAAAATATTATGTATTAATTTGGAGTGATCATCTGCTTCATATAAATAAAATAATAACTATATAGTATATAGTACTATCTATATCGCATTATCGCTCTTAAGAATATATACATTAATATATCCGTTGGTTTTATGTGAGATACTTCATGCAAATTTTAAAGAAACGAAAGGAGTTTATAAACACTAATACTAATAACATTGTTATAACTTACAACCCTACAAACTCACTGGAACGGTATATTATACATTTGCATGGAGCGCACTTTAGGAGCGACCTAACCGTTGGCTCGCGAGTACGTCATGACATTTCAAATACATACGAGTATACTACGAATAATATACAACGTTAATATATAGATCGAATGCTATGATATAAGAAAATAATAATAGTACGCGCAGGCATGTAAAATTCGCGTATGCATAAATATAGTATATAATATATGTACGTGTTCACTGTACTTACGGTTGTTGTACGGTGTGCTGTCTGATGGCAGTGTTCAGGTGTACGGGTGGTCTGACCGCCGCGGCGGCCGGCGGAAACCTTCTTTCGGCCATTGTCAGACCGTAAATTTCGTCTTCTTCGCGATCGCTCAGACAGCTAGACGGCTATAAAAAGGAAAAAAAATAATAATAAAAAATAAGACCAAAATATAGTGAAAAATAAATAGGTACGAAAACTCCGCCGTATAGATTTTGTAACACGTACGTGCGTCTTCGCACCGGAACAGACAAAAGTTTCCCAATCAACGCTGAATAGAATGGACGGAGCCACCCTCATCATTCCTGCCCCCTACGTTACCCGTCCTACGCGCTTTACGTGCGCCGCCGTTTTCTCGGCTCCTTTGAACGTCTCTCTAATCCCTAAGGGTCCCACTCACTTAACAACAACTGCACTCAAAAGAGTCTAGCACGACTGATTGAAATGGTCGCTAGTTACAGATACATCTACTTTAGGTTAGGTAGGTATATGTATAAAATAGAAGCGCGCTAAGACAATTTTCCTTTTATTCGCAAATCAACTTTGGTAAAATCTAGTGATTTGATTGGGTGTTTTCATTAACATATACATCAATAGTCTCTTGTCTAGACAGAATAACATTGAATACTCATGGACGATATAACGCAAAAATACATATAATATACATGATATCTATTGTATAGTATCTAATGACTCCAATCCATATAAATTTAACGTATTTAAATAATAATTACACTGGAGTACTAAGTCCGATTAAACCGTAAAATACAGAGTGAAGAAAAATACAAACACAAATATTATATAATTACTTTAAAACTCCTTATACTCTGTATATTTTGCTCACTAAGGCACTTTTGACGATTCTCAATAGTATACTTAAGAGGATGTCAGCGCCCACGAGCTACATAGAACAAACTCATTTATGCAAAACCTTTTTTCTATGTTTATTGAGTTATTTATAGTTATTTATAGTAAAATCGACCTTCACAAAAATTATAGAAAGTATAATATTTTCGAGAATTTTACTAATATTTTAGTCTAAATATTGTCAAAATACCTAGACAATATTAAACATCGATTTAATTATATAAACATTTGATTTTTATTTAAAGTTGAACATAAAGCTAAATAATAAATAAAATACAGCTCGATACGTACAAGGTGATTCTTTTATCATTGAACACTCATTATTTCAAGAAATGTAAGTGTTTTTGAAAATATTTCTAAATGATTATTTTACCAATGTTGGTGAGATTATATCAAAAAATATTAAAAAATAAAAGTTATCATAAATTAGATTAGAAATATTTAAACAATAATTGTCACGTAGATGAATTATTATTTCTAAATCAGATTTCAGTTAATGAAGTTGAGAACTATCTAAACTTATTAAAATATGAGTGTTCATATTATGAATATGGAATGACAAATTATTTTTTTTAAATATCGTCTAAACAAATATCTTTACCTATTTCTTATTATATTTAATAAGTCTATTCCTATTGAATGTGGAGTTTAGAATTAAATAATTAATATATTAATAAAGTTTAATTGTTTTAAAAAATGTATTATTGTTCCTTTATTCAAAACAGGCGATAAGAAAATCTCTGACAACTATAGACCTATTTCACTTTCACTATCTATTAGTAAAATATTTGAGAAATGTTTAAAAAAAGGTGGGTAAGTGGATACTATTCAATTTGAGTTCAATGATACAATATCATTGTAAAAGAAAAACGATTCTGAGCGAAGACGGTATGTCAGTCTAGGTTTAAGACATATTATATACATATCTATGGTATTAAAAAAAAATTGACCTATAATAAATTCCAAACTAATCATATCACAATATCCATTAGGTACTTATAACACGTTATACATCAATAACAAACCCTGATACTATCATAGATATATAATATAGTGTACTTTAGAAGTTTCAAGTACCCACGAATAGTATTATACACTCACAACAAAATAACTAAAATAGGTATGCTAGGTTTTTTAATATGTAATTTCGTCCCAAATTTGAACTTAAAATGTCTGTAAAAAATAACTGTGCTCATATATTTTTTAGATTTGTTGGCTACAGAATGAACTATTTATGAGAATCTTTTTTTTAAATTTTCAATCCTTAGCTATAAAAACTGAACATTTTATAATTTATTAATTACGATGATTGATAATTTTCGAGATTTTGATAAATTTGGTCAAAATGCGATCTTTAAATGCTTATAAAAAAAAATTGTGCATAAGTATTTTTAATATTTTTCAATTGCTATTGTAACAATATATCAAGAGCCTTGTATTATTTTTTTACACTTTTCGGCTCAACAGGTAAAACTTTATTGATATTTATAGAATAAAAAACTAAAAAAATTGGAAACTGAAAATGTCCTTAACAGCTCAAAAAGAGTCAAAATATTTTGAAAATTGTTTGGTGTATAGGAAATGCTAATATAAATAATCAGTGAAATTATAATCTACAGTTATTCGTTTTTGAATTACAACAAAATAAGGAAATCGCTACATGAGAAATCGAGTGAATATCCAATATTGTAAAAATATGAAATTCAAACGCTCATAAAAATTTAATTTGACTTTCTTATAGACATTTATTTCTTGATAAAGGTAGATAATTTTATTAGGAATCTTGTATCACATCTTAAAATTTTAGATTTAAAAAGAAAATTTTTTACGAATTCTTAACTCAAAATAATTTACTAATTTTCGATATTTTTCCATATTTTGGACTTTAAATGCTTATAAAAAAAATTGTGACTAAGGATTTTTAATAATTTTCATCTGCCTTTGAAACAATATACTAGAAGCCCTCTATTAAATTTTCAAGCTTTTTTAACCAACCTATAATTTTTTATTGATATTCATAAAAAAAAAAACTAATAAAATTAGAAACTGAAGTCTGAAAATATCCCTAAACAGTTCAAAATAAATCAAAATATTTTGAAAATGTTATCGTATATAGAAAATGCTAATATAAACATTCAGTCAAAATTTCATATACCTACGGTCATTTGTTTAAAAGTTGCACCAAAAACCAAAATCGATTTTCTCGAAAACAGATTTTGCGTAAAAATTCCCGTTTTTCCTTAATTTTTCTTTTGTTTTTCACGGCGCTTTAGAAAACTACTGAGAAAATTTTACTTTTAACCCCCCAAAGTACCAAGTAGATTCACTTTCCTATTAGAAAAGCTACTGTTGAAGAGAATCCAAGCAATTTTACTGTCCTAAAACGTGATGAAAGACACAAAAAAAAATAAAAATTTAATAAAAAAATAAAAAAACACACATCATTGTAAAATCAATACATTTGTTACATTGTTCCACTCAGAATCTAAAAAAAACCACACATCATTCTAAAATCAGAATCTAAAATCGAATTAAGGGCTAGTAGTTTATGAGTTATAAGTATTTAAAGTTTAGATGAGCGGAGTAGAGTGACAAATATTTCACGGAGTAGCCCTGTAGTACCACTCCACTCCGCTAATCTAAACTTAAATACTTATAACTCACATACTACTCACCCTAAATTCGATTTTTATGTTCGAAATACTTAGAAAAATATTCTGCTTTGGAATATGAAATTAAAACTCCATGTTGTCATCCAAAAAAGTAAAAAACGTTGCTTTGTAAGCGACTAAAAACTGAGTAAAATAATATTTAAAAAAACATTTATACCTCTTAAAATAATGAGTGTTCAATGATAAAAGAGTCACCCAGTGTAACCCTAAAAAAATGTTATTCATATTCTCAATAATTTTTGTAATATGTGAATTTACTCTCAGATTTCTCTAAATTTGTCAAAAACTGCTTTGCACGAATAAGTTTTGAATCTACGTAGGTCAGAAATGAAAACAAATAACGCGCTAACATCATATATTAAATGAATAAAGTAAGCTATTTGCAAATTATATGTTCGGGTTTTTTTTAATTGCATGGAATAAAATGCTTATACTAATACTCTTGCTAATACAATAACAATATACTATAATGCAATAAATACGAATAAAAAGTATTGGCAATAGTAAATAATGAACATAATTGATTTTCAGGTATAAGAATTTTAGATTGGTTTTATCAAAATATATTATATAGGTACATAATACATTATAATATATGAGATTATGAGGAATTGATCGTGATCAAAATGGCTTTCAAAATGTTAAATGAAGGTATAACTTTAATCCGAAACACACATATTATATAATATTTATTCTGTTATTATACGTTGTTCACAAAATATTATTTAGAGTTTAAACATTTTGTTTAGAATAAAATAAGCAGTAGGTAGTATTATAGAAACATAACAACGGTACAAGTACCTACGTAAATCTTTTAACATGTAGGTATGTATATAGAATGAAAATCGTGATTTTGAATACTCACAGAGTATTTTCCGGGCGCGTACAGGTGATGAGAGTACGGATTTCCGGCCATGTTGCACGGTGACCTGGAGGGTGACGAGGGGGCTAACAACGTTATCCGCGGAGATAATTCGGCCCACTCGGCGGCCCTAAGTTCGTCCAGATACTCCAGAATGTCCCGATAATGGGTGTTGTACAGATCCGCGTACCGGGACGCTAAGCCTTCCAAATAGCCTCGTTCGCCGTTCTGCAATCATAATAATAATATTATTAAAAAATATATATAGTAAATTAAATTCGATGAAAAACTCATTAAAACGGTATTCGTGACGGGCGACCGAGGGTGAATGTTAAATTGTCTCTTATGTACACGCCAGAGGGTCGTATATGAACACTGAACAGGGAGGCGTAGAGAAATACTCCACATATATTGGTATTAAACGAACCAGACGGAGATTTCCAATCCTGCAGTGAAGCCAGGATAGGACCCCCAAACTCATTTTCCGGGCATTATTTATTTTTCATCCACCCGAAGAGGGCTCCAATAACTGTCAAACCCCATTAAAAATTGAGATTTCCTGCAGGACCCGAAACAGAAGAAATACAGACGATAAAACAATTTAACAATAGTATAACGAAAGCGATTTATTAGCCGGTCCGGCTATATTAAATTCATCATTTTTTTTTGTATGATTTATGATTTAGCGTACACCATCCAATTGTAAAAAATAAAAATAAATCTTGTATCGTAGAATATAATATATTCTTATAAATTATTATTGGCACCTTTATAAGCGTGAAGTAAGAATAAATATATAAATCGACACAAAAAAGATATTATGTGTCACAACTATGCCCGCTCTGTTAGGTAGTTCAGGGTTACAAACTGATTCCAATTTTCCTAACATGCCAATGTATATATGTAGAGAGTGTATTTTTTGGATTTTTTGGTAACAGAATTGACTACTTACGTGGAATCTTGTTTTAAATTTTCGATCTTTAAATGCTTATAAAAAAAATTGTGCCTATGTATTTTTAATATTTTTAACTTATATTATAACAATATATCAGGAGCCTTGTATTAAATTTTTACACATTTAATTTGACTTTCCGGTATTTTTTTTTATTGATAAAGATAGATAAACTTATGAATAATCTTGTATAACATCTTAAAATCTTAGATTTAAAAAGAAACATTTTTACGAATTCTTAACTCAAAATAATTTGCTAATTTTCCTGATTTTTCCATATTTGGTCAATTTTTGAACTTTAAATGCTATAAAAAAAATTGTGACTGGATTTTTTTCATCTGCCTTTGAAACAATATACTAGGCGCCTTCTGTTAAATTTTCAAGCTTTTTTAAACAACAAATAAAATTTTATTGATAATTTAAAAAAAAAACTAAAAAAAAATGGAAAATAAAAATGTCCCTAAACAGTTCAAAAAAAATCAAAATAAATTTTGAAAATGTTATCGTGTATAGAAAATGCAAATATAAACAACCAGAGAAAATTACATGTATAAACATTCATTTGTTTTAGAGTTACACCAAAAACCAAAATCGATTTTGTGGAAAACCGATTTTCCGTAAAAGTTCTCGTTTTTCCTTAATTGTTATGTTGTTTTTCCTGGCGCTTGTGAAAACTATTAGGAATTTTAAATTTTGAACCCCCCAAAGTACCAACTAGATTCACTTTCCCATCGACCAAGATCGAAGTTGAAAATCGAAACATTATTTCAACTACTAAACGTGTACACAGACGCAAAAATAAAATAAAAAACAAAACCAACACATCATTGTAAAATCCCCCGGTAAAATCAATACATTCATCGTTCTACTCAGAATCTAAAAAATTAATTAATATTATTCATATAAATTGAGTACGTCGAGGGATAGAATAATCATTTTTTTAAATCACCTAACATTGTTTGACTCAAGAAAAAAATTAAAAAAACAAAGAGACGTAGTAAGTTTTATCAAGGATAAAAATACACAACTTGTTTGTAGATATGAATAATTATTATAACATTAACCAACTAATTAGTTATGGACATGAGACACAGTGGCGTACTTAGAACTAAATTTGGTAGAGGGGGTAAGTTACCCTCCTTCCTGTTAATTCGCCACTGGATACACATATACACATATAATTTATAAAAGATTGTATTGTACTGTCATTAGAATCATTGTTCCTATAAAAAAATATTTTCTATGCAATGTTTACACTGCAGGTTCTTATATTACCTTTATAATAAATATACCTAATACAATAATAAAAGTTGTTTTTTAACGATATGCACAATTTGCAAGTCAGTAGTAACATAACATGAAGCGTTTAATACGAAAAAAATCATCAAAACAGTTTATACAATATTGCCGAGAAGAACAAACAATATTCACGGGCCATATCATAAAATATTTTAACTGTGTAATTCTTGCCAAGTGTAGGATATTTCTTTAACGTTATTTCTACTTCGATCACACTATTATTGCAAATGTATAGGTTTTACAAGGATTCAATTTAAAAGATACGAGTTAACACACAAAAGTATACAAGAGAAAGAATTCTGAAAATAAATGTAGAAATTCGAAATACGAAATATGTAAGGTAGATATTATACGTATTACAATTGTTTCTACATACAAACTGTACATTCCATAAACGATAAAAAATAAAATTATGTAAAATAATATCGTATGTATAATATTGTTTATAGTAATCCTATGGGAATCACCTTGCATGAAATATCATTTAAGTACAATAAGTACATACATATGTATAACTATACATATTTATACATATATGCATATTATATAAACGAGGTGATTATTTTAGCGTAATACACTCGTTTTTTTGTAGTTTTAAGTATGTACCTTTTATTATAGTTTATAACATTACATTTTATAGAAAAAACTAAGATAAAAAAAATGACTATATACGTTTTTGCTTTTTTTAAATTACAACTTCAATATATTTTCAATTCCCGGTCTTAAAATGGTAATTTATGAAAATCAAATATTGAACCTGAGATAGTTAATACATTTAAGACCATGTATTTGTAGAGAAGTGCAGTTCAAATTCGTTACAGACTATTCCTAGCAATTTGATCCTAACGCCCAAACATGTAAAAAGTTGTAAAACATGCATTCAGTTGATGTTGATATCTTTAGAGAAAATATTCTACTTATGCATCTGAATAAATAATATGTGGGGGGACGGAGTGACCAAGCGGACTACGGCGTCGGTTGCAACGCGCACCGACGACGGTTCAAAACCTCGGCCGCCGGCGGCATTTTTCTTCCGGCAAGTCACAGTGTCCGGAGAGAAGTGCCGCCATCCCCTACCCGGGCATGACAGATACCTACGGGTACCCACTAAAAACTCTGCAAAACTGTGTAAACGTGTTTATAGTTTAAACCTACAGTACCCTCCCTCACAGTTAAAAACCACCCAATGTCCTAAGTTGCCGCTGGTTGATTAATAATAATACAAATATTAATAAATAATAATATGTGCAATAAATAATTTTAAAAAGGATTTGATATATCTTTTATTTCTCAAATGAATGTCATGCCTTCAAAAATCAAAAAATCACTGCTTAATGGATAGCATAATATAAGGCATGCTTATTTGTGTTATAAGCTTAAAAAAACGTGTATATTATGGACGTTTATAAAATGGGATTCGGCTTTATATCAAACAAATTTAAAATATATTATACACAGGTAGGTACAACAATACAATAATATTATGTACGTTTACATGAATTCGTTAGGATTCAACGACTGTAGCGGTATCTTGAACAGTGGGTAACTACCATTGCTGTAATATATATATACGCAGTAGAAAAGTAGAAACACATTCATTTATGTTTGATTAACTCCTGTGGTTATGTAAACTTTGCAAGAATCGCAGGAGCAAAGTTTATAGGTAAGCTACGCACCATCCGTCCGTCAATACTTTAGACTTAACGTCAACGCGTAATTCCCGCAGAGAATATAGCACGCGCTATCTGCTTGTAACCGGCAAAGGTCATTCCGAGGGTAGGTAGGTAGGGGAGGATTCCGGGTATTATCGTCAGGGGGAGGCGCACGTGGGTAGTACGAGCGAGAAGCAAGAGGGTTACGATTATTATTATTATTATTATTATTCGTCGGCAACAAAAACAACCTAGGGGAAGTGGGGCGAGGGATATGTAAGATATACGTCGTTGAGACAGCCGCCGTCGCAAAAATGGAAAAAATGACTTTCGACCCAACGTCTACGTGAAAAATTTCCGTTTATAATGTTCTGCCAAGACGTCAATTTTTCATGTGCGCAAACCTACGGGGCAGACTTGTGAGAGGGGTCGATGTGGGAGAATAAAGTTCCAAAGGTCGAATGATTATTCCCCGGTAGAAATTGTGTCACCCTAGAGGTTATGTTTTCTAATACCTAAGTGACCCGTAACTACCCATCCGCCCGCCAACAATAATTGTCGCCACAGATAACAACTCTTATATCGTTGATCTCGTTTTATTTTTATTTAAGGTGTGAGCAAAAAAACAAAACAAAACAGTACCTACACCAACAGCTTTATACACAGCTTTCTTTTCACAAGTCTCGCAAGTCGTACAAACAACATACTAAAAGATCGAATAATACAATTTCAATATTTTGAAAATGGTGGTGCTGGTGAGACGTACGTGACATTTTGTACATATAGCCAATCTTAAATGTCGCAGCCCAGTTTTGCAGATATGTGGACACCGTCTTTCATATAATTTACATAATAAGCGTATATTTTCCATAGCCATTTGACATTTGGTGAATATTTTAAAACCTTTTTTGATTCGGAACGGATCGATGAATGTATTGGTTTACAAGGATGTGAGTTTTTTTTAATATTTATATTTTATTCATATTTATATTTATATACAATTATTATATATATACTAGCTGTCTCGCCGACGTTGCTGTCCGGGCCAAAGTTTCGTATATTCAATAAATATATTTGTGGAAAAATCTATATGTCATGTTTCCTCTAATTATAATAGTGATATATAGTATGTAACCATTTTGTCATTTAGATAAGAAACATTTTTCTTGTTTTAGAAGCAAAAAAAATAAGCTATAAACACTCTCTAAGTCTCACGGATTCTATTAATATACCTATACCATTTATTAAAAACGGTCCAGTAGTTTTTAAGAATATTAACTTCGAACTAAAATCTTAGCTGTATGCAATTTTAGCTGTATGCAACC